GTGTGTGTGTGTGTGTGTGTGTGTGTGTGTGTGTGTGTGTGTTTAAAGCAGATTTTAAAATGCCTTGATATGGGTGGTGGGGTCTGCATCACAAAAGAACTGAGGATAACACTTATGCCACTAAACTAATGAAGAACTAGTAGATGCCCTACCCCTCCCTGTTAAGGAAGACACCACAATGCGTTTGAAGACCAGCTGATGGTAGTCAGTCAGTTAGCATTTCTTAGGCACCTATTATTTGCCAGGCACTGTGCTAGATGCTGAGAATACAAAGAATGGCAAATAGTAATTCTTCCTTTCAAAGAGCTCACAGTCTCATCTGAGAGACAACACGCAAAGAAGACAAATGCAAAATAGATTGGGGTAATCTCAGAGGGAAGGAACTAAAAAGTGACGACTGCGAAAGGCTTCTCAAAGGAAGTGAGATTTTGGCTGAGTCCTAGCTAGGGCAGCTAGGTAGTGCCAATGAAGAGGGAAAGCATTCCAGGTACGGTAGGGTTGGGTAAAGACAGCTAGGGTCAGTCAAGGAACAAATAAGAGGCACATGTCACTGGATCACAGAGTACATGGAGGGAGAAAGGTGTAAGAAGGCCGGAAGGGTAAAAAAGGGCCGGGCTATGAAGGGCTTTGGAAGCTAAATGTGAAATTTTCAGTTGATCCTGGAGGTAATAGGGAGCCATGACGTTTATTGAATGGGGAGTGAAGTGAGCAGACCTGTGCTTAATTTGACAGCAAAGTGGCAGATGTACTGTGCCATGGGGAGAGAGTGGAGGCAGGGAGCTCAACCAGGAGGCTATTACATGAATCCAGGGTTGAGGTGATAAAGGCTTTTACCGGGATGATGGCAGTATCGGGAGAAGGGAGTGTCACTCTAAGAGATACTATCAAAGTAGAAGTGAAACACCAGAAAACAGTGGAAATAGATGCCCTGAAGAGAAGAGACATACACATTACCCTGCTCACCTCAGTGGTTTTTTGAATCTTTCACCCTTCTTCAAACCTCCC